ATCCTTGAAAGCAAACTCAACGGGCTCCTCGTTAGCGAACTCGTCTCCCGGCTCTACCCAAACAAGAAAAACAAACAACAAGGACACAATCAACCACGTGCAAGCTCAAACAATATGATGCAAACATGGTATGCTATGCGGGATGCAATATGCGATGCATATGCAAGATTTGACAAGGAATGAATGAACCTGGCCTCAACATGGAAATCCAAGTATGCCACTAGAAAGGTGAGATGAAATCGCTTGAAAACGATATAAAGATCACCGGAATCGGAGTTACGGTTTGGAAATGGCAAGCAAATCAAATATGACCACGTTCTGCGATTTATAGCAAGTAGCCATCTAAATACAACAAGATGAACATGCTACAACACTCAATCATGGAAACAAAATACATGGCAGGGATCCACTCATGATGCTTAACAAAAGACTAGCACTGAGCTACAGCCAATTCATCCATTAACAGGTTCAAACAAGCATGGCAAAAATGCATTTGGCAAACAGATCTCAGACTTTGTGAACACTTGTCTGGAATTTCAGATCAGATAGCACTCTTTGGAGCATGAAAACAATAAGCTAAAGGATCTGAACATGGCAAAGTAAAGCATGGCATGGAGCTACTCAAAGAGCTTAACAAAAGTCCCTTAATGACCTTGAGCCAAAAGGGATCAGAAAATACATTTGCAAGCATATGAACATGACAAAAACATAATCAGATCACAGACTTAGTGAAAACTGGAGCATGCTGAAACAGATATCAAGTAGGCATGTTTACGAGCTCGATGCACTCACTACAGAGCAAGTCATGACAATCTAAGCATACACCCATCAAGATTACACAAAATACAAGCTAGACATGACAAGAACACTAACATAGCATGCACGGATCAACTACAACATCCTCGGCAAAATTGCTAACAAGTAGACAATCTGCCCAGATTCACGAAAAGGCAAAAGTAGAGCTCGATTGACTCAAGCTAGGGTGCTCTATAATTGCAAACAAAGGCATGGATGGATAGAGCACTACAAGATTAACAAAACATCCTTACTGATCATCCTCAAAAGAGGCACGAATCACTAGGAAACAACATGAACATATGGCCATATGAGATAAACGGTCCAAGGACTTAGTGGAAATGCTAAGTCCCTGAAATCAGCATTAACGAATGCTCCACTTTGCAAGCTTGTTCTAGTCACCAAACACATCACAAAAATACATGGGTTGCACCTCTGGATAGATGACAAAACATATAACAAAACTCATGAAGAGCTCAGGGGCATATCATGCACACAATAATCATGGCAAAAATGACAAATGCCTAATTGGAGCAGCAGATCTGACAGTTATCTCAAATAGCATTCTTCTAACAGCATTTCGGGCATCAAGAAGAACTCAAATGAAAATGATGCAATGAGATGAAATGATGTGCTCTTTGAGACGAACATTTTGATATGCTATATGCCCAAAACGGAGCTACGGATGATGAGTTACGATGTGATGAACATAGCCAAAATATTAGGGTTTCGGGCAAAAAGTCAACCCGACACGAATCTCAGATCCAGATCCGGCCGACACGCTTTACGAGGATGGCCGGGATGTACTGTTCGCCGGAGTGAGTTGAGGTGGCCGGAGCTCGAGGACGAGGAGGAGGTCGGCGGGGGCGCGGCCGGCGACGAGGTTGGCAGCGAGGAGGCGCACGCCGGCGCGGGGCGGACGGCGGCGGCTCGCTCCTGCGGGTGCGGCTGTGCCGGCGATGGAGAAGGGCGGCGGTGGCCGCGGGCGTGGCGGCGCGGTGGTTCCCAGGCGGCGGGGCGCGCGATGGGCCTCGGGGGCCCGGTTCGGGCCTCCTGGGCCGGCGGCGGGGAGAGGTCCCGGCGGGACACGTGGCAGCTCCCAATTGGTCAGGCGGTGGCGGCGGACGTTGTCCGGCGCGCGGAGAGGAGCGGGGCTAGGGTTTCGGGGGAAGAAGAACGGGAATTTTGGAGGGGGTCTATTTATAGGCATAGGAGGAGCTAGGAGAGTCCAAATAAGGTGCAGTTTTCGGCCACGCGATCGTGATCGAACGCTCTAGATAATGGAGAGGGTTTTGGTGGGTTTTGGGCCAAAATGGAGGGGTGTTGGGCTGCAACACACACGAGGCCTTTTCGGTCCCTCGGTTAACCGTTGGAGTATCAAACGAAGACTAAACGGTACGAAACTTGACAGGCGGTCTACCGGTAGTAAACCAAGGCCGCTTGGCAAGTCTCGGTCGAATCCGGAAATGTTTAATCCCCACACACGAAAGAAAGGTAGAAATGACCACCGGAGGAGAACGGAGCACCGGAATGCAAAACGGACAATGGGGAAAATGCTCGAATGCATGAGATGAACACGTATGCAAATGCAATGCACATGATGACATGCTATGAGATGCATGACAACGACAACAACACACGGAGATAAAAACCCGAACCCGAGAAAATAAAATAACTTAAGGCTGGAAATGGCAAGAGTTGGAGTACATATTAGGCAAATCATATCCGGGGTGTTATAGAAACCCTAGGGGTGGGGGCGCGACCCTTGCCTTGGGGGGCAAGGCACCCCCTTTGGCCGCCTCCCCCTAGGAGATTGGTTCTCCTAGGGCCGGCGCCCCCCCTAGGCACCCTATATATAGTGGGGGCGGAGGGAGGGCAGCCGCACCCAAGCCCCTGGCCTCTCCCTCTCCCTCCCGTGACACTCCTCCGTCTCCCTACGCTTGGTGAAGCCCTGCCAAGATCACCGTTGCTTCCACCACCACGCCGTCGTGCTGCTGGATCTTCATCAACCTCTCCTTCCCCTTGCTGGATCAAGTTGGAGGAGACGTCTTCCCAACCGTACGTGTGTTGAACGCGGAGGTGCCGTCCGTTCGGCACTAGGTCATCGGTGATTTGGATCACGTCGAGTATGACTCCATCAACCCCGTTCTCTTGAACGCTTCCCCACGCGATCTACAAGGGTATGTAGATGCACTCCTCTCTCCCTCGTTGCTAGATGACTCCATAGATTGATCTTGGTGATGCGTAGAAAATTTTAAAATTCTACTACATTCCCCAACACCTCCTCCGTGCCATTCGTCTCGTGCTCCGCCGCCGCGCTCGCTCTGCAACCGTTCCTAGGCTCTCTGCCGTGAACTCCAGAAGAGCGCTCCCGTTGTCGCCGGCCCGAACGCCACCGTGGTACATCCGACAACTCTCCGGCTCCGCCTTGCGCTTGATGTGTTCGACACATTGACCGACCGGAATTATTGTGATTTTGTTAGGTAAATGATGGATTCCGATGCTTCATCGGATGAGGAGTATGGACCGATGGAGCTTGACCAGATGATTCAAGATGAGTTCTTCGATTCGCCTGATTCGGACGAAGAAGTGGACATGATCATGCTCATGGGCATGCAAGAGAAAATGGTCCGGCAAGTGGAGCATATTCTCAACTTTAAGGGCTCAATCAAAGGAAGAAGAGTGATCAACCGAAACAGGGTGTCCGGAGCAAAGCTATTGCACAATGACTACTTTGGTCCCACACCTACTTTCTCAGAAGATCCATGGTTTCGTCGCTGTTTTCGCATGCGAAAACTATTGTTATTGCGCATTGTCGAGGGTGTGGAGGCACATGACAACTACTTCAAGCTCAGAAGGGATTGTTGCGGCCAAGTCTCTTTCTCGGCCAAGCAGAAGTGCACGGCTGCCTTAAGGATGCTTGCACTTGGTACTGCCGCAGACACCGTGGGGAGATGGTCAGGATGGGGGAGAGCACGTGCCTGAAGACTACTGTCAAATTGCCCGCGCCGTGGTTGAGGTGTTTGGACCTGAGTATCTAAGAGAACCAAATGCGCAAGACATGGAGAAGTTGTTGGCCATTGGAGAAGCAAGGGGGTTACCAGGAATGCTCGGATCAATTGATTGCATGCATTGGCAATGGAAGAACTGCCCCAAAGGTCTGTGGGGAATGTATCAAGGTCACACAAGAGAGGCCACCATCATACTAGAAGTGGTGGCATCACACGGCTTATGGATTTGGCATGCTTTCTTTGGAATGCTCGGTTCTCACAACGACATCAACGTGCTTCAACGATCTCTGGTGTTTAGGAGGCTTTGCAATGGGGAATCACCGCCGTGCAACTACACCGTCAATGGTCGGGACTACAACATGGGGTACTATCTTGCCGATGGTATCTATCCTCAATGAGCGGTGTTTGTGAAGACCATATCCGAGCAACGTGGCAATAAACAGAGCCACTTTGCAACAATGCGGGAAGCGGCTAGGAAGGACGTGGAGAGGGCATTTGGTGTGCTTCAGGCTCGTTGGGGAATTGTGCGGAGCGCTGCAATGATGTGGGAATCAGAAACTTTGTGGCAGCTGATGACATGTTGTGTTATTCTGCACATTATGATTGTCGAGGATGAGGCTGATGGTGTAGCACCTGGAGAACAAGTTGAAGTCCTGGAAGATCAAGATGCGGCTCAGCTTATGAACTTTCTGCAGATGCATCAGAATCTTCGAGATCAGCAGGTGCACACGCAGCTACTCAATGATCTTGTGGAGCACATGTGGATCCACAATGGCAACCAAGGAGGCAATGCTTGAGTTTGGCACTTGAAATAAATTTTATGTAAACTCTATCTATGCTTGATACCAACAATTGCTATTTACGCGTGACATTGTGTTGCATAATCGACCTGCATGTATTTGCATCGATTTGAGAGACCGAATTTGAGATATGTGGATGCACGACATGAAATATGAGGGCCCGACCGGATGCGCCCGCGGGCATTTGAGAGGCCGGATTTGCCAAGTCCGGTTATAAATGCTTTAATGATATTTATCAATCTGAAGAGTACATGGTTGTTTTGCAAAACAAAAAATTTGTAGTACGGGTGACAACAATTAAAATGTGGGAGTGGAAGAGTTCCACATTTCATGAAATTTAAAACGAAGTAGGGAAAGCAAATCTTATTCAGTGCCCGTGAAACAGCACGTCCGTTTAATGGGCTGGGCAAATGAAATTGGACGGGCACGTCTTGCCGCAGTGGTTGAGGAGGAGGCTGATGTCCACAGGCACGTTGAGGTGGAGACCGAGGATGTTGGCCCTGACGGCGGTGCAGAGGCAGACGGCGGCGTCCAGGTCGGCCAACCCCTGGAGCAGCGGGCAGCATTGGTCGTGCTCCGGAACACCGATCTTGAGGCCGAGCAGTCCGCCGTGAACGTTGGCGCACACCCTCAGGTTGAGCACGTTGATGGAGCACTGCCCGCCGTGGCCTGTGGCCGTGCCCTCCTCCTCCATGGTATGGCGGCGGAACGACGACGGGTGGTGTCGGCACGACGACCGGCGGTTGGCAATAGGTGCTTCCGCAGCTGTGGGCGGCGACGGCGGAGAGGAGGAGGCTCAGGGCCACGAAGAGGGCAGCTTTGGATGCCATTGCGATTGTGGGTGTGCTAGAGTAGTAGTAGTGCTTTGGTTTGGGATGCATGAGAGCTTGGAGAGTGTTGTATTTATAGCCTGGTGATATGGATGCATGCATGGGATGGGATCGAGATGTTTGACGTAGTAGCTTACGTTTTGTATGTATGATCAGACGTGGCCATGTGTGATTCGATCGGTTTCAAGACTGCTAGGTTGTCCTCTCGATGTATCATTTGTTTTAGAGAGATAAGACGAGATTTAAGCATGATATAGTTTAACAATTCTGGAGATATGGCAACAAGTTGAGCAACACCCTTGCATGTTCATGCATGTTACGCAACAGTGCAATACCTTGTCATGCCACACAGCATATTTTAGATCATGTATAAGCAAGTTGAGAAAGCATCCGGTATTTTTAGGCAATAGTTAAGCATGCGCTGTGAGCGCTTGGACTTGTTAGCGGTACGCGGCGCCGAGGACACGGAAATATGGGCGCGCATAGACACCGGAAGCTAAGCCAATATCGATGGTTACGTTACATCCATTCATATGGCGTATTATAAGCGTGCGTGGGGTGAGGAGATCAATAATGAACAAGCTGGAGCCACGTTCTTCTTTGATGGTATCATACATACATTATGATGATTCTACAGATCCATCCTTTGATAGTCATCTGGGTTTAGTTATCGAAATGGTAGAGATTAATCAGCACAGCAGACCTGGTCTTCCGGGGCGCCTCTGGAGGTAAAAGTTTTTGCTTGGCTTGCTCTTCACAACCGACTGTGCACTGCCGATCGGCTGGCTCGGCGGCATCTGCAACATCCAGCGGCACGCGTCCTCTTTTCGCAGGAGGAGACGGTCAACCAAATGTTGCTGGGCTGCTCTTTCTCACGCGAATTTTGGTACGACACCCGGTTTACAAATGTGTTGCTACCACTTAGGCTCCACAGATTTACTCCAAGCAGTGGGGATGCACACTCCAATTGGTGGCCAGCGGTGAGCAGCATTTTTTTAGAGCCAGCAGCGACCGCAAGCAACTCAACTCTCTGTTGTGCTGTGCCTTGTGCTTCATTTGGCTGGAACTGATCAGCCGTGCTTTTTACGAGATAGTATTAATGGCATCGATTGTCATGCCTAGAATTAGGGAGGAATTCGAGTTGTGAAAGTTGGCGGGAGCTTGTGGACACTCAGGAAACATAACTTAGAGTGCTTACTCTTGTACTTTGTAAAAAAAATATAAAAGCGTTTAAATCACTGTTATTCTTTTTTAAAAAAAAAGGATTACCCAGCCTTTGCATTTGAGCGATGCATGCAATCATTTTATTAATTATTCTCAAAGACTTTATAAATCATTACATCAGTAAGTCCGAAGCCATTATCTTGACCACACCTACCGCTACTCCTATCCCCTAGATGCAGGGATGTCGAATGCCCGAACCTAATATCAAATAGACATCGCACCAAAACCTAACATCTAATGTCGGTTGCCCCATCCCAGCCACATACCGGGAATGGGTCACACACCGGTCCGGTGCACTCACCGAGGCTACCACAGCCGTCATCCACCTAACCATCTTTAGAGCAGGTACCGATGCAAAGACCTTGCCAGGTCAACTGTCGACGCCACCATGACGCCAGACAGCACCACCGCCCCGCACTCGTCCATCCAGCTGCATCTGTCGTCGATATCTAGTTGCACCATGCCATCATTACTCGTCGTCATCGACGCGGTAGAAACAATGCTGCACCTCCTGGAAACCTCCACACCATCGTCGCTGCAGGAGCTACGCAGAGTCCAACACCCACAGCATGTCTTCGCCGAACAACAGAACCTCCCAAGACGGCGCCTCCATGGAGGGTACGACGCGAAGGATACCGCCGCCGTCCAATCCAGACTGAATTTTGGACTTTCATCCGGGAGGGGTTCGGAGGTGGATAGGAGAGACCTCGACATCGCCTCCACGGAGGGTAACAACGTCGAGAGATGTCACCGATGTCGGACCGAACAAGCCGATCAAAGTTTCCTCCGGTCCCCATCCTATACCACCAAACCTCCGTCGGCTCCGGATCTGGCAACGGGCCACGAACCAAAACATGCAGAGATGAGAGAGACATGGGGCTCAACCCACCATGAAGGAGGATCGAGAATAATCCGTCGTAGATCTCCAGGCGCCGAATCCAGCGATTCGGCGTGGTCAGCGATGACCACCGCCCGCGGCGGCTGATGGCGTTCAAGCCCAAGACTCATAATTGGATTCGATCCGGACCAGACAGCGCCCGCGACCACCGATCTTGCCCACCACGCAACCGTCACCACGCCGTGAGCAGGTCGTCACCGCCGCTGCGCCACGCTCGACGTCGCCAAGAAACCCGCCCGCCGCGCCACCCGACCCCACGCTAGTCCAGCGCCCCGCCCGATATGGCTCCCCCGCGTCAGCCGTGGCGGATGAGGGGGAGAGACACCCTGCCGCCGCCCAGCCGACCAAGCTTTGCCCGGCAGCGGTGCGGACGGCAGTGAGGAGAGGTGGAGGCGGGAGGAGGGCCGAGAGGACGGCGGCAAGGGTTCCCTGCGGGGGCGACACAAAGGGGGGAGGGGTGGGGGTGGGGGTGGAGGAGGGGGAAAGGACGAGGGGGCCAGAATAGCAGATCACTTACTTGACCCAAAGATCTAAACACTTTTATATTTGTTTATAGAGGGAGTTAAAAATAGAGAAATGTGCTCCAACATATTTTCAGAGTTCACATATGTAACAACGGTAGTAACTTCAATCTCATGCATCGTCAAAGCTCCCCCTCGCTGCATACCATGTTACCGTATGAATCATAGAAAACTCCGGAGCGTCGTGGAAATTAGCCATCTCCTCACACCTGTAAGCTGTGGACGTTGTCAGTTTTTTCTTTCTTGACAAGGTAGACTTCTATTGCTACAAATAATAATTTACATCCATGGGATGGACATAGATGCATTGCATACAACCAAGCCAAACAACTAATTCCTAGCTAAAACCAAAACGCCACAGGAGAAAATGACATGACATGCTTAGACACTTGATTGGGTTTGATGGTACGACGGATGGTGGTTTGCAGCTCTCCCTTGTGATTGTATTTTTTTCGTGAATACGCAAAGCTTGCGTATCTTTTCATTGATAGAAGGAATAGAATGAGTATATAGGGGTACAACACATGACACGAACGCATGCAGACGTGAACATGGTGCCCGGAGCAGAGAGACAATGGATGCTCAACCCGAACAGAAGATACATCACAACTAGATCTACCAAGCCCAAACCACGAGCGACAATGCCGAACCAACAAGAATTCCAACATCACCCGAACCAACACCGGGGACACCGCGAGCTAGCTAGATAGCGCCTTCAAGAAGAAGGAGGACGTCGAGACGCCGTTGCCATCCGGTCCGGGGTAACCAGACCTAGGGTTTCCCCTGAGCTCGAAGAGGAGAAAAGCTGAAGGCCTTGGAAGCGCCTCCAAGAAGGAAACGACATCCGCGGGCGCCGTCGATGATGTCGCTTGAAGCTACGTCGGTATTTCCCCAAAGAGGAAGGGATGATGCAGCACAACGGCGGTAGGTATTTCCCTCAGATGTGAAATCAAGGTTATCGAACCAGTAGGAGAACCAAGCAACACAACGTAAACAACAAATATACACAAATAACAACTACTCGCAACCCGACGTGTAAAATGGGTTGTCAATCCCTTTCGGGTAGCGGCACCAGAAATTGGCAAACTAACGTGAGAGAGTTGTAAATATTGATAGATCGAATGCCAAATAAAATAAATTGCAGCAAGGTATTTTCGTATTTTTGGTTCAGTAGATCTGAAAATAAAAGGCAAATAAAATAGATAGCGAAGGCAAATAATATGAGAAAGAGACCCGGGGACGTAGGTTTCACTAGTGGCTTCTCTCTCGAAAATAGCAAACCGTGGATAAACAAATTACTGTTGGGCAATTGGTAGAACTTCAAATAATCATGACGATATCCAGGTAATGATCATTATATAGGCGTCACGTCCAAGATTAGTAGACCGACTCCTGCCTGCATCTACTACTATTACTCCACACATCGACCGCTATCCAGCATGCATCTAGTATATTAAGTTTATGGGAAAACAGAGTAATGCAATAAGAACGATGACATGATGTACGCAAGGTCTATCTATGTAGATATAGACCCCATCGTGTTATCCTTAGTAGCAACAATACATGCGTGTCGGTTCCATTTCTGTCACCGGGATCAAGCACCGTAAGATCGAACCCACTACAAAGCACATCTTCCCATTGCAAGATAAATAGATCAAGTTGGCCAAAGAAAACCCAAATATCGGAGAAGAAATACAAGACTATAAGAAATCATGCATATAAGAGATCAAAAAAAACTCAAATAAATTTTATGGATATAAAAAAATAGATCTGATCATAAACTCAAAGTTCATCCGATCCCAACAAACACATCGAAAAAAGAGTTACATCATATGGGTCTCCAAGAGACCATTGTATTGATAATCAAACGAGAGAGAGAGGAAGCCATCTAGCTACTAACTACGGACCCGAAGGTCTATAAAGAACTACTCACGCATCATCGGAGAGGCACCAATGGAAGTGGTGAACCCCTCTGTGATGATGTCTAGATTGGATCTGGTGGTTCTGGACTCTGCGGCGGCTGGAATTGATTTTTGTCAACTCCCCTAGGGTTTCCGGAATATTGGGGTATTTATAGAGCAAAGAGGCGGTCCGGGGGGCACTCGAGGTGGGCCCAACCCACCAGGGTGCGCCTGGGCCTCCTGGCGCGCCCTGGTGGGTTGTGCTCTTCTCGGAGCACCCCCCATGCGCAACCTTGGCACATTAGGTGTCTTCTGGTCCA